GGTATACCTCGGGGGCGGCCCGAGACGATGCGGTGCCACGGTTAGCGTGAGACGGGGGTAAAAATAAACGAGAGAACAAGACGTGCGCGGACTGCGCGGACCCGTTCGAAAAACTGGGAAAAAGCGCCACGCGCAAAAGGAGAAGCGACAACGGGAATAGCAAGACGGAACAAGCGCGACGACAGCTCTCTCTCTCTCTCGGTGGGTTTTAAACGCAATTTAAATTTTTAATTGCGAGTCCGCCGACCATGAAGAACGAAGTCCCCGTCCTCCTTCTTAACGCGGCTGACGTTTCCAAAGAGAAGCGTGGACCCGCGGGCTTGCTAAAAATTCCTTTTCCCGAATTTTCTTGATACTGATTGGATAAACGCATTCTCGCGATATGTTATTTCTCATACAACGTAAGAAATTCCGAAAGTCTTTTAAAGTTTCGCTTAGACACATCACATTTAAGTTGTGTACATATTTTGACACAATTATTACGTCACATTCTGGAAAGTTATTTACTGTGGATTATATATTTTATTATTTTTTAAAATATATCTAATTATTGAATAATGATTCAATATTGTTCAAATATAAAAAATTTCCTCCATTAGCTTCTTCCCTTTAGTGTCTTATGCGACAACTTCTATATTATATCATTAGTGCTAAAAAGCAATTTAAAAGAAAAGTTTTATCCTATCTATAATAAATCTTTACAGCAAAGTTAATAATTTGTAATTTATCTAAAATTAGTTTTTATAGCTAATTATCTATCTATCATCTATTTGTGATGTAGAAAAGCATGAGAAAAATAAATTATAAAGTAATTTTACTGGAACGCCGTACTTATCGTACAATATAAACTGCTTGTTAACTGAGACAATGCTCGAGCTTTTTAACTGACAGACGATTCATACTTCATCTACTTTCAAGCCACTGTTTGCTCTTTTTCATCTCATAATCCACTTAAGGCGCGAAGGTAATGCCTACATTTCTCGCATTGCGTGTTTAATGGTAACTCTAACGAGTCGAATACCCGCGACACTACGAATTAGTGTGATCGCCTCGATAAAGCCCTAATTGCAATCGACGCGTAATCTTGACCATCGCCGGCAGGCGAGAGCCCTTCGCGGCAATGGAAACTTAAGGCGGGCGCTCAGTAAAAATCAATTCCACGTTCGAGAAGGTAGAAAGAAAAAGCAGGTGCTCGTAAGGCTGCCGGCCGGGTTATTATCCCATGTTGCCGAGAGCCCCGCCCAATAGCGTAACAAAGTGGCGATGCTGACGAGGCCTGTACCGAGATCTCTTACAGATCTTTTTTTTTTTACCTTTTTAGACTTTTATCTCTTTAAAAAGAAGGACGAATTATAATTTATTTCAAAGGATAAAATTAATATTATTATATTTTTTTTACTACAATATATACATACGAAGATATAAATTTATTCTTTTAAAGTATATACTTAATACCTGGCCGCTTTTATATTATTTAATTATTTTTACGGTACACAATGCGCACGCGCGTAATTTTTAATCTCTACTTTCATTAGAAAACAGATATTTAATTCTCGCGAAATTAGTATAAAAAAATAGGTATAACATGAACGAAGAGTTTGAAGATTTACAGTCTGTTTCAGAATTTAGACGATAGTCCTGTTGAACCATAGGAACCACAGTAGCTGCGCCATTGGCCCCGTCCTGTACATGCCGCTCGCTCGGCAAGCGTGCCCCCGGGAGCCTAATCGATGCGTCGTCGCACGCGACTGCGTGCTTTTATCGCTGTCACGCACATAATTAATTTAATTTAGTCTAATACGTCGGCCCAGCGCGCCAGGCAGCGATTGTCGTTCCGATTGTTTGCACGGAAACGCCAGCGTTAACCCCGGCCGGCTCGCCGAACACGATATTCGTATCCGTCAAATTTCGGCTGAGGAAGAATAAATCCTGCTATTCGTGCTGCAGGTCGCACGCGCGAATTTATACCGCCTGAGTATAAGGGAAATGTTTCCTCCACTGGTACCAACGTGCTTTACATAAAATTATTTACGTTCCTAATTCTAATAAATTTCCCGACATCTTGATCTTGAGTCTTTTGCCTTATTTCTGTATCAAAATATATATTTTATTACACTATCAAATGAGTTTTTGTATCTTTTTTTTGTTTTGCAGAATTATTAATACCGGTATTAATTATAAAAAAAGGACGATAAAAATATCGGATATTCATTTTAATATTAAAACCTTAAAAGATCTGTGCACAAGGTACATATGTATGTGAAAGCTATCTATAAATTTATTAAATATTTTCACTGGGATATAAAAACATTTTGTTTTCTATTTTCTGAAATGTAAACATTTTTGTACCACTTGTGTATACCACTTTGAGACTTCGAAACTACGTCCTCCTCGCTCTTGGTCACATACGCCAAAAGTCATACCGAGAAAACGTTACCCCCCCCCTCCCTCCCCCTCCCCTCTTGTTGATTTGTGAATTCGTTCGGCGAATGACTCACCTGAACACGAACTTCCGGAAGGTTGACCTTCATGGCGAGCTCCTCCCTGGAGTAGACGTCCGGGTAGTGGGACTTCTCGAACGCTCTTTCGAGCTCGTGCAGCTGATAGGTCGTGAAGGTTGTCCGGTTGCGACGGTGCTTCTTCTTGCCCCCGTTGCCGTTTATGTCCTCCCCGCAGCCCGCGCCGAGTTCCTCGTCGCTGCCGCCGCCGGTGGAGTTGCAGCTGTTCTCACCTGGACAGAGAGAGTGGTCAGGTCTCCTCGGAAACGATCGTTATGGGTAATAGGAACGGATAATGGTGATCGATTTATCCGGAGTCGCAGCTATTACCCCCATTATACGCGCATAATAGTAGCTATTAGAAGTGCTGGCAACGCGTGGCCGGCGCGGAATTGCGTGGCCGTGTGCGTGCGTGCGTGCGTGCGTGCGTGCGTGCGTGCGTGCGTGCGTGCGTGCGTGCGGAAACGCATGCTACGCGCGTATGGGTAAACCCGGTCGCGCGCTTTAAAACGTCATTCGCGCCTGGATTTCTCCTCTTTCCCTCGCTTTTTTTTTTTGGCGTTTCGTGACCGAGCAAGCGCGAAATACGACGCGCCACGCTTCGCTGAATGCAAAAGAGACAACGAGGATTAATTAGAGTGTTTGACGTTTAATGCGATGCTTAAGAGGAACGGAAGGATCGCTGGTTATGGTTCGATAGGTGGGTTACTTTTCTTGGCGTACGAGTGCAAATGCGTAAAGTATATCGGTTGTCATATTCCCTTTATACATGAAGATACAGAAGTATAATTTCACAGTGAGCTTGCAGAAGTAAAATATGAATCAGCATGACGCGCCATTATGAAAGTTAATGAACGTTCTTCCCATATGATTTCATCGAACAACGAAGTGGATGAACTAAATTGCTATTCTTTCTTTCGTTATTAATTCGAAATAAATAAGAGACACTTCTTTCTTTATGATATTAATGCAAAAATGGACGATTGGATATCGGTTATTGAGAATAAAACTGGCAGAAAGTAATCATTTACAAAGAATTTTCGAAGAATATATTTGTGAAATAAGATATAATCTCTTATAATCCGATAGCGGAAATATCTTTTTCCTCTAATGATCGTTTCGATATTAAATCTTTTTTTAAATCAATCTCTTCAAATATTTTCCGAAAGAAGTAGATTGCAAAATGTAAATTCCTGTCTCTAATGAGAAAGATTATGTAATGTGTATAAAATAATGATAGAGAAAATAGGTATGGTTGTAGAATTGTAATTATATCATATAATTACACATCTCACATAATTAATATATAATAACTTACTATAACATAATTTTATAAAACTTTTCTTATCTAGTTTACAAAATAAATTTGTATACATACATTTATAATTAAAGTATAAAGAAGGCAGAGTAAGTCAAGTCGGAAATGTCCTTATTTCTAAATGTTTGACGACGTTTCAAAGAAATCATCTCTCTAATCGTTCACGAGACAAACGGGAGCATCGCCATAAGTGCGCGTTGGCACGCATTTTTTTTTACCGGGTGACACGTTTATGTAACTAAGCCCTATCGTTTCGTCGCTACTTATCCGTCGCTTTATTAAGGCAACATCGCCGCGCCGTTATCGTCGCTAATGAAAGGGGCAACGCAACGAAAACGGTGAAGATTTATTTGCGTTGCCGGACAATCACGCGATCATTTTCATTGCAAATAACATCCGCGCGACGACCCGCATTCCGTCGTATTTGTGTATTTAGAAACGTGGCCACGGTATTCGTGCCCGGTATTCCGGTCGAGGTCTAATCGATTTAAGCGTGGAATTAATTGTTCGACCGATTACGATATGCCGTGCACTGTGCTTAATTGTTTCACTGCCAAAGCGCAGGTGCATTGTAATGACATTTGGCGATGACATCGTGTTTGCCGTAGTCTTCAAAAGTATAAACTTCTTTGATATTACGTGTCTTCACTCGTGATTTGCTGAACGATAAGAAAGAGATTATTTACAACTTGGAGGAATTACATACACGTAGAAAGAGGGAAATTACAAATACTTTATTAAAGAATTCTCGAGCCAATTCTGTGTGTGAAATGAAAATATATCATATTATGTGCTTGATTTCTAACATTACAGCTCTAAAATCCACTATCTACTTTTAACGTAATAGAAATCCGATTTTTCACTACTTCTTTATATACAATAATTATTTGACATCCAGTTTCAAATGTAATTTTAATTTCTATTTTATCTTATAAAGATCTTATAAAGATATTTTTTTTTTCTACAGACAAATGTGTTACTATAAAAAAAGTGTTACTTGCGTGCGTTACTCAGGTTGGAAAGTCCACTGCTTCAAGGAAAAATACTACTACTGTGTTTTACCGTGCACTTTTACCTACTTTCGTATAAATTACAATTTTCTCGTAAATTACACGATCGTCGCCAGACCGTGCAATTTCGCGGATTAAATCATTAAGTGAGTAATCACTGGGTAATTTTCGAGCACTTTGCGTCGCTGTGAGAGAACTTAAGGCGCGTCAACACGCGGCACTTCCACCGAGCTATTACGCTATCTCTTTCCTTGCAAATTACACCTTTCGTAAAGGTTGATGATTGCTCGCGTCTGAACGTCCAATCAGAACTCGCATTATTTTCATTTTCAAGTTAATATCTCGTTCTCGAAAAACTGAATTTCTTCGAGATTTTCTCGTGCATTAAATTGTTAACGAAATATTTTTATATTTATATAATTTGTATAGAACAAGTTTTTCTATCTAAAAATATATTATTTTAATTTTGCAAACGTTATCTATATATTTATTAAAGATTCGCATAATACAAGAAACGTACAAATATTGCGATAGAAAGTTGTATATAAAACTTTTGCATCAAGCAATTAAATAAAAGTTGGAAATAAATTTTAATCTGTCCTTCCCTCCCCCCCCTCCTCTTGATTCTGCTAAGATTAATACGACTGTACAGTATTACACAATGCGGAACGCGTTGCGCTCCCTGGGCGAACTATTACGCGATCATTTTCCCTGCAAATTACATCCATCCCGGGTGCTGCGGTTACTCGTCGACGAACGCCCGATCAAACCTCGCATTATTCCCGTCCCCGAGTGTAATATCGTCCAAGAAACCGAACGGCACCACCGACGAAGAGATTGATCCTGCGGGACCGCGGCAGCAAATAGGTATTTTCCACCCCGTACACCCTACCTCCGTTTTCCCTTCCTCTCGCTCTCCGCATCCGCTGCCGCCGTAAATCCTAACTTCATCCCGATCCATCCTGTCGGGGTAGCGCGATCGGGAAGTTTCTCTTTTGGGCAGTACCTCTCCGGAGAGAGAGAGAGAGAGACCGACCCCCCCCTTCGCCCCCTAGTGTACATCTATATACAATATGCGGATATACGTACAGCCGGGTACACTCTCATTAACTGCATAATTAACCTTCTCCCGCGTCGCAGCACAGTGCGTCAAATCGAATTGTGGAGGGGTAATCGGGGGTGGCTCAATGGCGGCGTTCCGCGCGCACTCGCGCGAGCGTGCGCGCGCGCAGCCGCTACACACGGCACGCACATCCTACGATCGCGTCCCACGCATGCACCCACACGCGCGGCGCTCGTGTATCCCCGGCGTACAGCTTCCTCGCGCGAGAAGCTTCATTCGGCGCTAACCAACAATCTAATAACCTCGCCTTGGCTGGCGATTGACGCGCGCTTGTACCGGCTAATTATCAACAACAATCAATAATGGTTCCCCTCCCTTCCCTCGAGAACGCTCGACGCTACCGTTCCGCTACCGCCGCGCTGCCCTCCGTCGCATTTTCCCCATCTTCTCCGGCCGTTCGAGTCTTTCTACCCTCCTCGTGCTCCTCCCACGTTATCTTTCTCGATATGTATCTACATCGATGATTAGTCTGTTCTAGGTCGCCAAGATTTCCTTTTACTTTACAGAGACAAATATGGAAATTGATAAATTATAAACCAGTAAATTTCGTCTACCATAAATAGTTGTACCGCAAAATAATTGTAGATAAAAGTTGTTAATTTTTTAAAAGAAATTTGCTTACAAATTGTTCGCCTAGATATATAATAATTATAGGCAGTTCTTCTCCGTTTTGCGAAGAATTTTAGTGTAAGGAAATATTACAAGTATTTTCAAAATTTTGATGATTTTGTGTCAGGAACAATATGTAAATCTATTCGGTAATTCTTTTTATATTTTTATTTGAGTAATGTATTTTATATTATATGAAAACTGTTTCACGTGCTTTGTTTAAATACGCTTACGTAAACGAAAGCACTTTTTAAATCTAAATTGATATACGTTTAATTTAATTATAATCGTTTCGCATGACAATTTTATATAGTAAACTTAACATTATCGCTATTTTAATCTACTCGGTAAATTTTAATTATCCAATCGAGATTGCAAGACAGAAATTGCGAATGTTTGCAGATTCATGGCGGTCGAAAGGTTATTAACTAATTTAATTCAGCTTTCCGGAAGACGTGCTGCCATGCGTGCACGCCAGAAGTTTATCCGTGCACCACGCTCCCGTGAAGTTTCAGTCGACACTCGATAGAAGTTGGAAATTTACACCTGAAAGTTGCGTGTCGTCATTCTCACTCTTACGAAGGTCAATAGTTTTAAATAAAAACATCTGGAAAAATTACTGTAAATTGCATCGAGTAATGTTGCAGTTTATACACGGAAAGAACACTTTTACTGGCAAATCTAAAAATTTGGCTAGATACAGAAAGCAAATTTTGTTGGACCTTCAAAATTATTATAACGATGTTCAAATTGATTGTTAGAAGATCAAACATTTTTGTAGTATTATCATCATATTTAAGTGTTCTACAAAATAATTTTGATGTGCCAACAAAATTATTTTCAGATCTGTATCTGGTCAAATTTTTAGATTTGCCAGCAAAAGTATTCTTTCCGTGTACGCATATTAAATATTATCATCCTTTATAATTTTTTAATATTTATAAACAAATAATTAACGTCATGTAAAAAGTCTGCCGAAATTGAAGCGATTTTATTTGTACATTTTGAATTATTTATTCACGGACACATGAAAAAATTAAAAGAGATAGGGAATAAGTATGAGACATCCGACGTTCATGTTGTTTGCGCATGACGATTGCTTCGTACGGATATTCACAGAAGCGGATTTCTGTGATACGGGTAGGCGTATACACGTCTGATTCGAATAACTGG